TTACTGGGTACAAGATTTGACCATTATTCAAAATAAATTATTTTGTGTGTTTAATTAAAGAAAAGAAAATCATAAAGTTTGAGTAAATGATGACATTGATTACATTTTGGGTGAACTATCCTCTTAATCTCAGAGAGATTTAATGACTAATCTTTGAGTAACTCACCTTCTCTCTTAAACATGTTGATATTGTTTTCTCTTCCGTTTCTTCCTTCAGTCTTTAGTTGATGATCTCCTCTAACCCCTGACTTATGGCTGTTCTTTGTCCAGTAAAATATTTATTAGTCCTGAGACTCTTTTTATATATTCAGACTTCTGCAAGTTGTGCGGAGCTGTCAGTCAAAATGAACAAACACACTGATTCAGCCCCGCCTATCTGTTGGAAAAACAGCTGCTGGATGTAAAACATTTAAAGTTTTAGTTCTCCTTCATTCAAATGTTTCTCTGCATATCTATTTCCATATCTCTGTCAATCTCACACATTCATGATGAAAATTAGCTTTGCTGAAGCACAAAAAAAAAAAAAATGACTGAAAACAACATTTGACTTTGATCTGTTTATTCAGAAGTATTCAAAAACACTTTTTAGAAAAAAAATGTAGATTGCTTTTAATTCTTTGACCAAAATGAAAGTAAAAGTCACAGATGTTGCTGCATTTCATACAGTAAATTATGTTTACTATTAATTATTGCATTTCACAAGCACATTTTATCAACATTAGGAGAGTATTTGTGAAAAAAAATAGACACTGTACCTGTATGTCAAAGATCCATCGTGTTCAGAGGTTTGTTTTGTCAGTGTGAGATCAGGAAGAGAATTGCAGGTGGAGTCTTTCACATCAAAAAGTAAAAACATGTTTCTGTGTTTCTGGTCTGACAACATTCAGTACAGGTAACCATTTAAGCAACACTTTCTTTGAAAATAAATGTTTGTACATCACTTTGTATAAAAGTGTCTGCTAAATGACAATGTAAATAAGCAGCTGTAAAGATTATTTGTAGTTTAGACTAAGTGCACTTTTTAGATCTGTCAGTATAAGTTATGCTGTGAACAGGAATGGGGAGTAACAAAATACATGTAACAGCATTACATATTTTAAAAACAAAAAAAGTAACTGGCGCAGTAGGTAGTGCTGCCGCCTCAAAGCAAGAAGGTTGCTAGTTTGAGCCTCGGTCAGTTGGCCTTTCTGTGTGGAGTTTGCATGTTCTCCCTGTGTTCGCGTGGGTTTCCTCCGGTTGCTCCGGTTTCCCCCACAGTCCAAAGACATGCGGTACAGGTGAATTGGGTAGGCTAAATTGTCCGTAGTGTATGACTGTGTGTGTGTGTGTGAATGTGTGTGTGGATGTTTCCCAGAGATGGGTTGCGGCTGGAAGGGCATCCGCTGTGTAAAAAACTTGCTGGATAAGTTGGCGGTTCATTCCGCTGTGGCGACCCGGATTACTAAGCCGACAAGAAAATGAATAAATGAATACTTCAACCAAGTGGTAGAGATGGCTCAATCAGGTTTAGTTAATTTAGGTACTCCTCTCAATAAGATATGGTCAGTCAAAATGTGGTCAACCATTTGGTCGAGCAGGCAGCTAAAGGGATGATATATAAATATTAATATATTTATAGATTTTAATAAAAAAATTATTGTGTTGTGAAGAAAAAATCTATGTATGGAAAGCGTTGTCAATGCTTAGATATCGAATCGAACCGAATCAATGGAATAATAATCGTAACCGAACCAATCCACGAGATCAGTGTAGATTCACACCCCTATACTCATTACATTACAATTATAGACCTTTTTCTTGGCTGCTGCATGGAGGGCACCATAGCGACCAGCGTCTTCCAGTCGATTGTTTAGAACTTTCGTTTGCAGCATTCAGAACCGGTAATTTGCAATCCGAAAATGGGTTTCAATAGCGTTTTGAGTGGGTTACGGAGTGCTTTTGACACAACTTTGAGAGGTGTGTGTTAAAGCTGTTATCATCTGTCAGATCTGTGGTTCAAGCATGAGAGAAAAACAGTATCGTAAGCCATGTTTCTTTTCATTCTGCTTAATCACATGCATCAAAAAAGATTAAATTAAAATAAACAAAACCATATGATGTCTTTTGACTTCTTTCTTTAATAACTACATTACACAATACTTATACTTTTACTTTCAATACTTTAGTAAATTTTGAAATAAACTACTTGCAATACTTAAGTACAAAAATGTTGAATACTTTAGTACTTCAACTTAAGTATGGAGCTTAAAGAGCCCTTCTACTTCTACTCAAGTCACTTTTTGATAGAGTACTTGTACTTTTACTTAAGTCTCGGTCTAGTACTTTATACATCTCTGGATGTGAAAGCACCATAAGTCTCAGGTGAAACGTTGAAGTTTGTAGTTGTCTGCTTCCTTCTCGTCCATTGCAAAATATGTTTCTAATGCACACTGTCAACGGCAGTACCCGGAAAAATCAAAAATACAAAATACAGAAAACACTGTATTTCCAACATCCAAATAATTATATAATTATAATTATACAAAATAAATAATTATACAAACGGTTTTGTCAATTTCCACTGTTTTGCGCCGTTGTGGCGCAGTAATGACGTCATAAGCGACCGGAGATTGCTGCTCTGTTTTGCCGGTACGATGGGAAATCTGACTACCACCTACTCATTTATTAAAAACGCCAGACAGTACAACATAAAACACAAAGTATGAAGTGTGTGCGTGTATTATGTATATATTCTGATTCCATAAGTGATATCAGAGTTAAGAGCAAAGTATGTAAATGTCCGAGCGCTGATGAGATGGCATGTGCACCTGTTAATCGGCTAGCTAAAGTAGTTTGGGGAATGCATCATGTTTGAGAAACGTGTATGCACATGTGTGTGTATGTACAGTTGAAGTCAGAATTATTAGCCCCCCCATTTAATTTTTTTTTCTTTTTTAAATATTTCCCAAATATGTTTAACAGAACAAGGAAATTTTCACAGTATGTCTGATAATATTTTTTTTTTCTTCTGGAAAAAGTCTTATTTTATTTCGAATAGAATAAAAGCAGTTTTTAGTTTTTTGTAAACCATTTTAAGGTCAATATTATTAGCCCTTTTAAGCTAATTTTTTTGACTGTCTACAGAACAAACCATCGTTATACAATAACTTGTCTAATTACCCTAACCTGCCTAGTTATCCTAATTAACCTAGTTAAGCCTTTAAATGTCACTTTAAGCTGTATAGAAGTGTCTTGAAAAATATCTAGTCTAATATTTTTTACTGTTTTCATATTCGAAATAAAATTAATCAGTTATTAGAAATGAATTATTAAAACTATTATGATTAGAAATGTGTTGAAAAAAATCTTCTTTCTGTTAAACAGAAATTTGGGGAAAAAATAAACGGGGGCTAATAAGTCAGGGGGGCTAATAATTGCTATTATTTAACAGATCCACCAGAGCTGATTACCTTATTGGTAGTGATTAGGTCAAATTTAGTTTGAATAACCCAATAAATCCTTATTTTCAGTTAATGGTTCATCGTTTACCCATAGGTGCTAAGAGTCAGTATGCTGGCCAGTTCCATCTGCTCACGGACACATCCTCGACAGTTCTGGTTCTTAGATAGAGGGTATAACTTTAAACTAATTTCCTTTAAGTAATATTAGGCCGCCCCATGCTTGCTCCTACTTAAAGAAAGTTTGATTTAGCCCCAAGTAAGTGATTGTAAATTATTTAAAAAAAATTTATTTGTCAGGCAAAGGTTTTCCATTTCAATTCACATAATTAAACAATATAAGCCAATTCAGATTGTACAACATCAACTATTCAAAGTTACATTTAAGAGTTGGAGATTAATAACTGACTGTGTAGAAATACATTGCAGCATAAGTCCTGATGCAGAGCTCAGAGACTTATACACTGTAACGGGGTATCCTGTCTATCTGGGGTATCCCCCAGACACTTCTGCACCCTTTGCCTAAATACTTAAATCACCATAATTTCAAGACAATAAAAGCTTCACCAAGACTCTTGCCTGGTCATGAGTTGATGTGAAGACCATTTTCCCTGGAGTGGAGCATCTGGCAAAGATCTTATCAATGTCAAAACCCAAATCAACTGATATAAGGGAGATTATAAAATATTACTTTGGAATTAGGACCACTTTACCAATCACACAGAGACATTTAAAATTACACCAAACATGAATATAAAGCCAAAAGATACACTATAATAAAAACTCAGACATTCTGTGTGGAGCTGCTCTGGTGCAGAAGGTAAAGTCCAGGGCAAAGAGGGGGGCTCAGGATGCATGAACAACTGGTTTCCTAGTGGATTTTCTTCTCAGATTAGAAAGTTTATTGTTTTAGTGCCTGACCTTTCCCGTGTTCTTGTCTCGTTTGGAGTTCCATAACAGTTCTCAGGATTTAATATTATGGAGAGATATAGCCAGCCTTGCAATGATATCTGACCTAAGCATGGACCTGACCTAAACATGGAATACGAGATGTCTTTTGAAACTGCGTTAAGGGTTTCACACTTGTATGTTAAATTATTGCTTAAATGGAGACATCACCATCTACAGTGTGCACGGTGTAATAAGCATGTGGACTACCCACATCAGAGTTAATGAAGCATGTAATGAATTGCTGTGGGCTTAGTAGTACATTTCTTTCGATTAAAGAATGACCATTTATAAGTGTCTAAAGCATTCAAATATTTATCTTATTGTGTCTGAATGTTTCAATTAATTTGTTGAGACATTGTTAAGTCATGTTTGGCATCGAGTCTGTTGCTCAATCTTGAGGTAAAATATGCTTATCTTTTATTTATTTATTTATTTTTTACTAAAAGCTATTACCACATGCTGTCTGCATTATACAGATACAGTAAAAAGGCAGCCCAGGCAGGACGGTCATACACAGAAGGTGTTTCTTTTTCCCTGCATTGAATGTTGTCAGACCAGAAAAACAGAAACAGGCTTTTACTGAAAGGCTCCACCTGTTAATATCTTCCTGATCTCACACCAGTTCCTGGTCTCACACTAGCAAATACAAACCTTTAAACATGGTAAAACTTCAACAAAAGGTACAGTATAACATTTCTTTACAATTATTATCTTTATGGTTATTGAACAGATGATGAAATGTACAGGAGAAATGAAATACTTATAAATAAATGTAATAAGCTGCAGTAGTGAGTTCAGTGAGTTTCGCTTTTATTTTAGTCAAATAATTATATTTAAAACTGTATACATTTGTTTTTAGATATTTTCAAACACCTTTAAATGTACAGATGAAAGTCAAACCTTATGCTGTTCAACAACTGTCCTAAACTGTACTTCAAAAACTGATTATTTACTGTCTGAAGAAGCAGATCTCATTCAGTCATTTAGTTTAATGTGTTTCAGCCATTGGTGGTTAGTAATGTAATAAATGTAATTCATTACTGTATTTAAGTAGCTTTTTCAAGTTTTAATGGAGTATTTCTGTTTGGGGAGTCAAACACCTAAGAAGTAAAATAACCATAGAGATCCGCACTTTTTGCGTCCTACCTGCGTTTCTGGTTCTACTAAAATGTCTGGGATTTGACTTTGCTTTTGTTTTTTTAAGCTGTCGTTAATTTTATGAGCACATATGAATTTTAATTAATTAATGTTAATTTTATGTGCACAATTAGCCTTATTTAGCCTAAATTGTCCGTAGTGTATGAGTGTGTGTGTGAATGTTTATGTGGATGTTTCCCAGAGATGGGTTGCGGCTGGAAGGGCATCCGCTGCATAAAAATTGCTGGATAAGTTGGCGGTTCATTCCGCTGTGGCGACCCCGGATTAATAAAGGGACTAAGCTGACAAGGAAATGAATGAATAATCTACATGTTTTATTTTTGTAATTAATATAATTTTTGTCATTTATTTCTCTTTTGCCGTATATTTTATTAATTTGATGATGTCAATATGCTACATATTTTATTAATCTGAAATGCTTAGGCAATACTGTAAAAAAAGTCATGCCAATAAAGCAAGCTGAACTTGAATGAGAGATAGAAAGAAGCTGATTTTACCTGTCAGTGTGTGCACATGGCTCCTGGATAACATAAAAGTAAGAGAAATGGTGGATTTGTTTTGTTATTTATTTCAACAGTATTTTTAACTTTTAATCCTTTGAAAAGAAAATGTTTAAAATAGACCCTTAATAAATAAAAATAGGGTAAAAATCAAATTATGTTTTGCTTGTTGCATAAAGTTTACTATTTATGTTTCTTCTCCAACTCTCCAATCCTCTCCACTTTTATGCGCGACACCTCTCCATCCTCAGTTAACATGCTGGATCCATTAGCCTGATCTGTTCCAGGACCTCACAATTTACAAATTGAGCACTGGCTGTGGGCAAAATGTTTGTTTCAATCTGGCTACCACCGCAAGTATATATCAAACCTGTGGGAAGCACAATATATATATATACACACACACACACACACACACCAAAAAGAAAGCTAAAGAAAGTCAACTGGCAATTAGGCTAAATTCACATTAGTCCAAAAAGATTAAGTGAGCTACACTCTTAGAAGAAATTTCACAGAAAGAGCAATATATGTCAATGTTACTCTTAAATTTCTGTATAAATAGCTTGACAGAATAAAATTATTAAATTATTATAATAAATAATTATTTATAATTTGTTAAGAAACCTTGATGAGGGTTTCATGATGATGACTATTATATTACAAGTCTGTAAAACCTTGATATTTACAAGATAGAGATAGCATAAGAAGTTAATTGTTTGTTTGGAAATTTGCAATGGAAATGATCCAGTAGTAAACCTGAAACACAAGTGGTTGTTGTCATGCAGTGAATACAGCCAATCGTGTAATATTGGTGGCGTCATCACAGCTCCAGCTGAATTGATCATCTGATTTCGGAGCACTGTCGCAGTACTTTGATACCATGTTACAGTCAAGGTGACCTCTGTGCAGTGTCAAGTCAACTGGTTTAACTGGTTTAAGCACCTTACGCTCAAAACACACCCATAACTCATTCAGAGAATAAGCACAATCCTTTTAGGCCAAGGGTGAAGTGAAACTGAATCAGTGTTTGTTCATTGACACAACAGGTGTGCAGATCCACACAATATAGTATACAGCAGTCTGGAAAAATAAATTGTCTCAGGACTGATAAATCTTTTACAGGACATGAAGATGTCAGGGGTCAGGGACGATGATCATCTGGAGACTTAAGAAAAAGATGGAAAAAAAGCACAGTGTCAACATGTCTACGAGAGAAGGCAGAGGTGAATTACACACAGATTATATTAGTAATTAAATACATTTAATTAATATATTTTTTTATTCTTTAAAGTAATATATATATATATATATATATATATATATATATATATATATATATATATATATATATATATATATATTAGTAAGTGGTATTTAAAAAAATATTTGAAAAGGGTTTATATCCACAAGTCAACAACACTGATAATCTGATTGTCTAATATGTTTCTCATCTTCTCACACTCATTTTACTTTTTACCTTATTTCTCTCTTATTTATTTAATAAAATATAAGACTTTTGTTTCATGCAGTGTCTGCAAGAAGCAGTAAGACTCGCAATAGATCACAGAGCATGGAGAGACCTCTACTAAGTAAGGCTTTACATACACTGTAAAAAATAAATACTGCCAAAACGTAACATTTTCTAGTGAATGGTCACATCTAAATATTTCAATTGGCCCAAATGAAATTTGTCAAACTGATTTTTCTCAATTTAGAGCAACAACCTGTTAACATTTGCTTAATGAGACATAACGTGTTGAGCAATGTTGAAACGTCAAGTTTGCCTGATCATCTTAAAGGTCTTATTGGATATTATAAATTGTTGTAGAATGCTGTAAGCAACTTTACTGAATAGGTTATACTCTGTCGTCCCAAAATAAAATAAATCTAAAAATTTACTAAATTTGATCATTTGATCTGGGCCCATCCGTCAATTCGAAATCCCCCCTTAGGAAATAAATTTCTGTTGTAGACAGTGACAGTTGTACACATTTGTTGCTTTGCAAAGCTCAGTTTCACATGAAAAAGACTAAAAGCATGTGTTGTAATGTAAAGTTTGCAGCACAAGATGTGCATCATTCATTAATGTACGTTCGAATCATTCATATTTTTAATAGCATGAACGAGACCGCATGGCATGCATCTGTATAACATCAAATCTTATACATCAAATGTATAAGAGTGTACAAAAAGTTTTGAATGTTTAAAACTTGCGAGTTCATCCTGAATGAGAATGTGCAGATCCTCTTTCAAGTACGACTCCCCCTGGATACGTGTGTGTGTATTTTTGAGACTTTTCTGGCAGAGGCAGGAAACTCGTACCTTTCAGCCAATCAGATGAGAGCTGTATTTAATGAAACCCACTCTGCGCTCCATTTGCGCAGACTGTTCCTCTCCAGCATGGCAAAAGGAGAAAGAGATGCACAGGCTTCAAGCAAGAACTATTAAATTCTCTGAATTTCACTGACTAAAAACTTAATTTACATTAAAATCAATAAATGTAAACAGGCTGTTGTTGTGCTTTAGTTGCCTAATCTTTAAAATATACCCTATCATTCAGTAATAAATATATAAATATAAGCATTTTAAATGATTCTTTATGAGTTTATTTTTCTTTAAGCTAGAAGCAAAAAATTGACAATGAAAATATAAAAAAAAAAAAACTAAGTGTTTATTTGCTTATCACTGGCCACTAGTCAGGGCCGGAGCAAGGTGAACTGCCGCTCCAGGCAAAGGACAATCACGCCGCCCTCAACCCGAAAGTAACCGGTAAACAAAGGGAAGAACGGGGGGTTATAACTGAGGATGCGGGTAGTGAGGGAGGTGTCGCGGATGCCGCCCTCTGCGCGGATATAACTGAGGACGCGCGGGTGGTGAGGGAGGTGTCGCGGACATATCTGAGGACGTGGGTGGTAAGGGAGGTGTCGCAGATGTCGCCCTCTCTATTCTGCCGCCCTAGGTGGCCGCCTAGGTTGCCTCTATGGACGCGCCGGCCCTGGCTGTAGTGAACTTATCTCCTTTTCTCAGAAGGTAAAAAATCGAGCAAAAATTGTGCTAAAACCCCTGTAGTCTGAGCTGTAGGCTTTATTTGACTGGATTTGATTGACCAAGGCACCGACTCTGAACACAAAACTAAAGTGCTGTCCAGATGAATATTCTGATTTGCTGGTGGTCAAGGACATTATAGCCTAAGTAATAAAATAAATGAGTAGGCTATTGTGAAAGGGATATGATATATTTAATTGGTTGACCTTTTTTTCAGCATTTGATTTTGGTAGTGTCATGTGTTCTGTTAGTTTCAGTTTTGCTTTGGCCTACGTGGGTGAGTGGAAGAATGAGCCACGATCGATGATCGTCTTTTCCATATAACTTTTACTTAAAGGTGCAGTAGGTGATTGTCTTCAGAAACATTTTTTGTTGTGCTGGTAGAAAGTCTCTTCACAGTCCAATAGTAATGATTACAGTAAATGATCTAAATGTGTTTATATTTATTTTTATATTCTGGGTAAAGCATAAAACTAAAAAATGTTTATCCAATTAAATAGAGTCGGACCGACATCTCCCTTAATTCTGATAGGCAGGTCAAACTGTCTGTTAACAAATGTAGATTCCGACTTCTGCGCATCTGTTCACGCAGATCCGCAATCCGCGTGCCCGTCTGCTTCACAAACGCATGTGCTCCGAGCGAGCTGTGGGCCCCTCACAGATGCCGAGTCGGAGCGGGAGGCACCGAAGGACAACCAAACTCGGGCCGATTACTGTAAAGCCAGATGCAGGTATAATTCGCCCTTAAAGTGGCCGCGCGGTCACGAGACGGACCGGGAGAAATCAAATGCTGCATTGAAACTTTTAAAAACCTGAATCAATATTGGAGTTACTTTAGCACACTGGAGGAAGGACGACACCATGGCTGAAGTATTACTGTTAGACAGGTAATGTTCTGTTTTAAACTATTTTAGTCAGGCTAAGCTTATGTTAGATTGTGTTTTTTTTATTATGAATGACTTATATGCACAGACGTGTTCAGCCACTGAAATCCCTCGATGAAAGATTAACGTGATTATTTTCAGTTTCATAAGGTTCTTTGACAGCATCTATAATGTAGATTTATATTTAGTTTAACAACAAAACAGCAGTAAATAGCGCTATTCCGCCTAACCTGCTTTATTGAGCTGAAGTTGCTTTTATATTCACATTGGGTCATTTTTGAACAATGACAGCCTTCCTATACTGTTTACCATGCTACTCTGAATATTCGCTCTGAAATAGCATGTAAGTGTGGCAAAGTATTTCATGTAATTCCTGCACGGCGCTGGCACTAACTAACTGTGGCGAATGACATGAACTAGTGGGTTGTCTGTCGGCTGTTGTGACGCGGTGAGCGCGCTCGCGATTTCAGGAGGTGTGGCTTTGAAGCACAGTCCCTCCCCACCGTTCAAAGATAATATGCTAGGCGGTTAGCATTTTGGCAGATCACCTACTGCACCTTTAACATCTTGAACAACCAGAGGTGGAAAGAGTAATAAAATCTTCTATTTAAGTAAAAGTACTGTTACTTCCCAAAAAATTTACTTAAGTAAAACATGTCTAAAATCTACTCAAGTAAAAGTAAACTAACTATTTCTCAAAAGTAGGGATGCACCGATACTTGGTTAAAATACTAGTACTCGTATCATGAAAAGGCCGACACCACGCACCGATACCACTCAAGAGTAATTCACTACATGGATGTGATTTGTTGTCCTAAATGACTTCAATGTCTTAATGTATTCATCCGCCTAATGTATTATATATTACTAGCTTAGTCCTTATAAACAATCCGTTTATAAAATACATTATTAACGAATCTTTAGGCTATACTAAATAATAAACCGAATATGAAATATGATTCTTGCATTATGATCACAGCTAAACAAGCTAGCACTCATTTTATTTATAACTATAAATAAAAATGAAAGAAATTTTAAGTAATGGAACATTATGTAAAAATTTAAACCCTACAGGCTAAATAAATGTTTCTTGTCAGAGCTGAATATCACTGCCGTCACTGCGCGCGTGTCAGTTTACAGCTTCTGTAAAGATCAGACAGCATATACTGATCACACAATCCCAATTAACATTTTATGTAAATATATAAATATATCGATAAGTATTGTAAATGGAATATTTGTAACTATATGATCTTGCTTTTGGTTATATGCCGGCTTTGAGCTCTTACCCGCGCTCTCTCTTTCTCTCACCAGCGGCAGTTGACAGGGCTCTATACACACTACACAGCATACACTGGCAAGACAGGTGCTGAACTCCACAGGGCCAGTTTTAGTTGTTGGCGATTTGTGTGTTGTTCCTTTTTAAAATGCCTTTTTATTTTTTTAAATCTTTCAAGTTAATATTGGCTATCGGGTAACATAATCTCCCTCAGAGATATTGGAGTTAAATAACTTGTTGCGCAGTAAGATTATTGACCAACACGGCCCTGTAAGTTTACACAATGCATAGACTATAGGCCCTCTGATGTGTTGTGAATTACATGTTTCAAATGACAGCAAGACATGCTACATTTAGTTTTTATTGTAAAATATACATTATAACCCAGCTATAGTTGTTTTTATTTGAATAAACAACTTTAAAAATTAAAATATTTTACAGATTATCCTATTTAACAATTTAAACCAATTAGCAAATTCTAATGCAACATCTGCTATGTTAGCTAAATTGTGCAAAGACAATTTTGTTCAAAGTCCCCGTTAATAGCCCCTTTACTGATTTTTTGTTATTAGTTGGATTACAATATTAGTGTCTCAGAAATGTGTTACACTACTTTTGTATTACTTTTAGGTTACTTTAACCCAGGGGTGTCCAAACTTGTTCCTAGAGGGCCGGTGTCCTGTTTAGCTCCAACTTGCTTCAACACACCGGCCAGGTAATTTCCAGTAGTAAGAGTTTGATTATAGCTGGTACAGGCGTGTTTGATTAGGGTTGTAGCTAAACTCTCCGGGACATTGGCCCTCCAGGATTGAGTTTGGACACCCCTGCTTTAACCAAAGTAACACTGGGAAACACTCATACACCCTCATTTACGCACATGCACTACGGACAATTTTAGCTTACTCAATTCACCTGTACCACATGTCCCCACACAAAATGCCAACTGACCCAGCTGAGGCTTCACACAGAGATCTCACTATTCAAAATTTTTTATTTTAAATATTAAATATATAGCTTTGCATGTATGAATATAACTGTGTACTAAGCTTATTACAGTAAAAGGTAGCACCTTTATTTTACCCAATAAATGCATCAATAATATCTACAGACTTTGATATAGTTAATCAAATGAACTTAAACTATTAAAAATGCAAGAAATATTTGTCTGGGCCCGAACTACAAAACACATTTTAAAACAGTTTTTTTGTATATTTTTTATCAGTTTTGCTAAGCTGCACACTAGTTTGATCATGTATAAATATCATTATAATTGTATTGTATAAATCTTTTTATAAATAGTCCTGCATCATGCTGACAATCAAAAAACAAAACGACATGTTATTACAGGTGATTGTCCTCTCTGAGTGCACCAGAAAAGACATGAATGACACTCCTCATAGAGCTTGAGAAGCATACCGTTCTTTATGATATAATTTGTAAAATAAAGAGTTGCAGGTTAAGGAAACAGCACAGGGTGAAGTTGCTGCGGGCCTGAGCAGATGAAAAGTAAACATAGAAAGTTTATTTATATATAAAGATAGATAGGTAACTAAAATAGACAGAGATAGATTTAATGGTACAAAAAACGCTGATCCGGTTTGTGTTGCTGATGCAGTCTGTGTAAAACACTTGCGCGCTGCTTCTGCACTCCCTATGAGCATCGCACGCGCTGCTTCAGCTCTAACTGCGCGTGCGATGTGAAAGTTCCTGCATCCATCATGGTCTGGATCATTTTTTCTTCTTTTTACTTGGCATTATTTTATATAGGCTATTAATTTTTTACTCAGTAACGGATATGATTTAAAATGTAGCGAATTACAATACTTTAGGCAAATCATACTTGCGTAAAAGTAAAATTACAGATTTTAAACTCTACTCTAAAATGTACAAATTCTCAAAAAAAAAATTACAGTAACGTGAGTAAATATAATTTGTTACTTTCCACCTCTGCTGTCAAGGCTTGGCATTCGGTTAGACGACTAGATGGTAAATCATGTTTAACATCAATTTATACTCCAATTTGTTATAATGTAGATTTTCCCCCAGGTATTAGTGATTCACGTTTTCAACAGTGGGATCGTAAGGGACTTTCTAAACTAGAATATTTCTTTGATAATAATGTTCTCATGTCTTTTAGTCAGATTTCACAAAAATTTTCTCTGGATGGTCGAGACATTTTCTGCTATTTACAAATAAGAAACTATATTCAAAAAGATACAACACTTCTTACTAATTCAATTTCTTCAGAAATTGAAAAGCAGCTATCTAAGATGCACTTGATCAAATTTATAAATTCCCTTTATAGTCTGTTATTTTGTTTTATCATTTTATTTCATTTTTTAGTCTGTTATATTTATATAGTCTGTTATGTAGTATGCTAATACATCTACTCATTTTCTTAAAATAATCTGGGAAATATTTATGTAACTTATATGAATAGCAGGACTAGCTTATATGATTAGCAGGGAAAATTATATATAATAAAATTTATGTAATATAATTTATGTAATATATGTAATATTAATGTAATATATGTAATATAATTTATGTAATATTATTCAATTCAGCTTTTTTTGTATAGCGCTTTTACAATGTAGATTGTGTCAAAGCAGCTTCACATATATGGTCATAGTAACTGAAACAGTGTACTTCAGTTTTTAGTGTTTAAGTTCAGTTCAGTTCAGTTTAGCTCAGTTCAGTGTGATTTAATCATTACTGAGAGTTCAAACACTAAAGAGCAAATTCATCGATGCGTAGCTCTACCAATCCTGAACCATGCGAGGCAGTGGCGACAGCGGAGAGGGAAAAATAACTTCACCTGATGGGAGAGTGAAGAAAAAAAACCTTGAGAGAACCAGACTCAGTTGGGCATGACCATTTTAATTTCTCCGCTGGCCAAAAGTCTTGTGCAGAACTTCATTCGCTGTGGTTTAGGCTGGAAGATGGCCTCAGCGAAGACTCGTCTGTCCCTGGAGCGTCGCTGGAATCAGACACATGTTCTCCACTCCCCATGACCATCAGCACAGCAGCAGCTCAGGATATGGAATCCTTGGGATCATCTCGTCGCTGGTCTTGGATCCAATCAGTGACTACGCATAATCTGAGGACCTCGGGATGAGTATCCCAAGGTGGAAATAGAGAATAAAGAGAATAATTCGCGTAGCTGCTGTTCATAGTGTATATAAGCAAGATGCAGAAGCCTGTGTGGAACCCGCTAGGTGATGCATTGAGTGTATGCTTTACTAAACAGATAGGTCTTTAATCTAGTTTTGAACTGGGAGAGTGTGTCTGAGCCTCGGACGTTATCAGGAAGGCTATTCCAGAGTGTAGGAGCCATAAAGGAGAAGGCTCGACCTCCTTTACTCGACTTTGCTATTCTAGGTACTACCAGAAGCCCTGAATTTTGAGATCTTAAAGAGCGAGTTGGATTGTAGCGAGACAGAAGGTTGGTTAGATAAACAGGAACTAGATTATTTAGAGCTTTATAGGTGAGAAGCAATATTTTAAATTCAATACGAAACTTAACAGGCAGTAAGTGTAAGGAGGATAAAATTGGGGCGATATGATCATATTTTCTAGACCTGGTAAGAACTCTGGCTGCTGCATTTTGTACTAGCTGAAGTTTGTTAATAGAGGATGCTGGGCAGCCAGCAAATAGAGCATTACAGTAATCCAGTCTCGAAGTCATAAAAGCATGGACTAGCTTTTCTGCATCTGAGATGGATAGCAGACTTCGTAATTTAGCGATATTTCTCAGATGAAAGAAGGCAGTTTTTGTGACATGGGATATATGATTTTCAAAAGTTAGATTGCTGTCTAATATGACACCCAGATCTTTTATAGTAGAGCTAACGCTAACTTTGTATCCCTCTAATTGTAAATTGAGTTGCGAGATCTGCTGTGTACAAGATTTAGGCCCAATAAGTAATAATTCTGTTTTGTCGGAGTTTAAGAGAAGAAAATTGTTGGTCATCCAGTCTTTGATGTCTTTGATACACTCAGTTAGTTTAGAAAGTTCAGACGTCTCGTCAGGTTTAGTGGAAATATATAATTGAGTATCATCTGGATAGCAGTGAAAGCTGTTTCCATGTCTTCTAATAATGTCTCCCAGAGGTAGCATGTAAATTGTAAACAGTAAAGGGCCTAAAACTGATCCTTGAGGCACCCCATACTTTTCGGGCTGACTTGTGAAGGCTGTCCATTAATATTTACAAACTGGTAACGGTCAGTTAAGTATGACTTAAACCATTGTAGAGCCTGTCCCTGGACACCTGTAGACTTTAAGCGATTTATGAGGATATTGTGGTCAATGGTTTCAAATGCCGCACTAAGATCGAGTAAAACTAATAGCGAGACGCACCCTCGGTCGGCAGCTAAGAGTATTATATAATATATGTAATATTATATGTAATAAAGTTAGAGCTATCCAAATTAAGATTCTTCATAGAGCTCATAATTCTCCTCTCCAGCGTAGTAAATTTAGAGCTGATTTTTCTCCACTCTGTCCCAAGTGCAAGACAGAAAAAAGTAACCTTACCCACTGTTTCTGGTTTTGTAACAAAATAGAGAGGTTCTGGTTGGGGGTTTCCGAAGAAGTGAGTAAAGTTTTGGGTGTTTCTGTGGTTTCAGATGCAGCATCTTTTTTTGTTAGGAATGTCCCCTCCTGTAAGTCTTGATAAGTACAAAATGAGGCTTTTCAATTTCCTTCTTTTTAATGCAAGAAAATGTATACTTTTAAAATGGATCTCGGATAAGGCTCCCTCTGTTAGAATGTGGCACCGAACTATTCTTGAATACGTGTCGTTAGATTATCTGACCTGTATTGTACATATTAAGTGAAGTTTTTCATAAAATCTGGGAACATTTCCTGGCAAATATTGATTTTGATATTGCTTCAATCCTGACAAGAGGATTTATTTAAGAATGTCATGGTTGGTTTTATTGATGGTTTCACACTTACTATTAATACTTCAATATTCTTTAAATTTTCCAGACCCACTGAACTCCCATGTATGTATAAAGGCACCTGTAAAGCCCTATTTGTGTTTGTGAGCTGAACATTACCTTTTTGTTTGTTTTTTGTTATTTGTTTAACTGTTGTCATTGAATCATCATTATTTTGCAAGGATGTTATTTTATTCATTTATTATTATTTGTTTATATGTATATAAAAGCAAAAACTTAATAAAAATATATATACCAAAAAAAGTTAGTCTTAAAAGTTTGTCCCATATTTATTAGTGGTCTACTAATCAGTTTTGTATTATTTAATTGGATCAAAGTATTCCAGATTTGAATCACTCCTATAGGATGCTAATTAAACCATTTTTCATTGTGCAAGTGAATGATGGACGACACATGGCAGAAGATACACAGAGTTTCACAGTGGAGAAACGGGACACACAGACACGTGAGTGTAACCATATCTTATGTGTTTAGAGGTACAGTATGAGTGGATTTTAATCTTCTTCTACGGTTTCAGAGTATGAGAAGCTAAATTTGGTGGTGTGTGGGAGCGACGGCTCACTGAAATCCTCCATCTCAGAGCTGATCCTGCAACACACACACAGAAGATCAGAGAGTGTGAGGACAGACGTGGATCTTCATGGTCGTCTGATCAATGTGCTGGAGCTTCCAGCTCTGTTCAACACTGGGCTCTCAGAGAAGGAAGTGATGCGTCAGACTCTCCGCTGTGTGTCTCGTAGTCATCCCGGAGTTCATGCTTTCCTCATCATTATTCCTGACGCTCCACTCAATAATGAAGACAGAGCAGAAATGGAGGAGATCCAGAAGATCTTCAGCTCCAGAATCAACAAACACATCATGATCATTATCATGCAGAATTCAGAGCATCAGACAGCAGAACTCAGTGAAGAAACACAGACTGTCATTCAGAGATTTGGAGGAAGACATCATTACTTTAATCCTGAAACACAAGAGGCCACATTGATGGAGAACATTGAGAAGATGCTGGAGGAAAACAGCGGAGGCTTTTACTCCACAGAGACATTTCTGGAAGTGCAGATGGAAAAACTGATGGAATATGAAGAGATGAAAAAGAAACTTCATTCACTGGAGAAACAAGGTACTTAGTAAAAAAATTAATTTGGTTCTCATAAGAGGTATGAAAAATTCATTAATTTTCTAATTAATTTAATTTTTCAAAAAATAAATATTGCACAAGTAAAACTATTAGGAGTGTGAATGACAGGTTAACTCACGATAAGATATGAAGAGTTCAGATGCAAATACCGCTAAACACCACTTTTGCCAAAAATTAGATAATGACTGTAACGGGGAGACTGACACGGAGGGATCCATTTTGCAGTATTTATTAAGTCACACTTAAACATCAACAACTCGCACGGCTGTGCGGACATACAACATACACATCAAAGAGGAAGTAGCAGATGACAGACACAGTGTGATTACCAGGCTTGGGTCAGAGGCAGGCAGCGTGATTCAGAGTCCGTGTAACAGGCTTTAGTCTGGGGCAGGCGGCGAGAATCAGAGTCCGAGGAAACAGGCTTTGGTCGAGGGCAGGCAGAAGACAGAGCAGAGTCGTGAAACGGGCTGAAGTAGTAAACGGGAGATCAGGCAGGATAGACCGCTCAGAAATGCTGGCCGGGGCTAAACAAGACTTCGCACTGTGGAGTGAGTGTGAGCTGCTTATAAGTGGTACGTGGGTCATTAGTGGAATGGAGAACAGGTGTGCTGGAATCAGAGTGAAGGGATGACGTAATGGTTAGAAGTCCGGAGATGGTGGCCTCTGCTGGCCAGCGAGGGGAATGACTGGGACCGAGTCGGTGACAGAGCCCCCCCCCAACGAACGGCTCCTGAAGTGAGGCGAGTCTCGACGCCGGGGTCTTCCACGGGGGCGAGGGGCCGGCATATCCGGATGTTGTGAATGGAACTCTTCCAGTAGTGTTGTGTCCAGGATGTCCTTGCGGTTAATCCAAGATCTCTCCTCCGGGCCGTACCCCTCCCAATCAATGAGATATTGGAGTTGTCCACCCCGGCGTCTGGATCTCAGGATTTCGTGGATCTGGTAGGCCTCCTCACCATCGATCATGAGAGGCGGGGGACCCTGTTCACCGACTGCCACGTCCCTATCCGCCTCGGCTGGACCAACAGCAGGCTTGAGCAGAGAGACATGGAAAGTGGGAGAAATACGGAAATGATTAGGGAGTGTCAGTCTGAACGAAACAGGAGATATTTGCTTTTCAATTTGGAACGGACCCACGTACCTGGGGCTGAGCTTCTTGCAGGGCAGTCTGAGGCGTAAGTCACGGGTGGAGAGCCATACCCATTGTCCTGGGGAATACATGGGACCAGGACGTCGGTGTCGATCGGCTTGTTCCTTGAAACGCCGTACGGCGTGAGAGAGATGAGTGTGAGCTGCGTTCCAAACTTCTTTGCAGCTTTTAAACCAGGTGTCCACAGCGGGGAGTTCGGAGGTCTCGCTGGACCAGGGAAAGAGAGGAGGTTGGAAGCCCAGGACGCATCGAAATGGAGTTAGCCCGGTTGATGCCTTTCTCAAAGAATTTTGAGCATATTCTGCCCACATAAGAAATTTAGCCCATTCATTCTGGTTAGAGTGACAGTATGTGCGGAGGAATCTGCCAATCTCCTGGTTCAAGCGCTCTGTCTGCCCATTGGATTGGGGATGGTAACCGGATGTTAGGCTAATATTCACCTGCAGATTTTTAAAGAATGCTGACCAGAGTCGAGATGTGAATTGGGGACCTCTATCCGACACGATGTCTTCGGGGAGACCATAGTATCGGAACACACATTCGCAGAGCAGTTCGGCTGTTTCCATGGCTGTAGGCAGTTTGGGTATGGGAATGAGACGGCAGGATTTAGAAAATCGATCTACTACAGTGAGGATGGTGGTTTTGCCCTGGGATATAGGTAGATCGGTGATGAAATCTATGGCGATGTGTGACCAGGGACGGTGTGGCACCTCCAGGGGATGGTAGTAGTTCAGCTGGACGGTGACGGGAGTGTTTAGACATCTGACAGGGTGAGCATTTGTTTATGAAGCTGATTACGTCCTTTTTTACGGATGGCCACCAATAGCGGGATTGAATTAATTGCACGGTGGCTGTGCTGCCTGGATGACCGGAGCTGGGGTGGTCATGCACCTCGGAGATGAGCCTCTCCCGAAGTGACGGGGAAACAAAGATTTTATTTTCTGGACAGGACTGTGGCGTGGAACTGGTTTCGGCGGCTTGAAGGATTTCGTGTTCGATGTCCCACTGGATGGGAGCGACAATTAGGGGATCCTTGATAATGGGTTCATCACTGTTTTCTGAGGTCTCATCGTCTGAGAGGCGGGAAAGGGTGTCTGCTTTGATGTTTTTCGAACCAGGGATGTATGTGACTTGGAAGTCGAAGCGCGTGAAAAACAGAGCCCATCTTGCCTGTCTAGGGTTCAGACGTTTACAGGAGCGGATATATTCCAAATTTTTATGATCGGTGATGACGGTGAAAGGGTGTTTGGCGCCTTCAAGCCAGTGTCTCCACTCCTCTAACGCCGCCTTCATGGCGAGGAGTTTTCGATTTCCCACGTCATAGTTCCGCTCAGCGGAGTTGAGTTTGCGAGAGTAGCAGGCACAGGGATGGAGCTTCTTCGTGGCTAGGGATCTTTGGGACAGGATGGCTCCAATGCCAGTGTTGGATGCGTCAATTTCAACAATAAAGGGTTGCTCGGGATCAGGATGACGCAGAATGGGTGCACTGGAGAAGCGGGTTTTGAGTTGAGTAAAGGCTCGAGCAGCGTCTGGGTTCCATTTTAGGCGAGCGTTATTGGCCTTTACCATGGCGGTAAGTGGAGCAGCAACTGAACTAAAATTTCTTATGAAGCGCCTGTAGAAGTTGGCAAAGCCCAGGAATCGTTGTAGTTGTCGGATAGTTTCAGGTTGTGGCCATTGCGTCACGGAGTCGACCTTTTGCTGGTCCATGGCCACGCCTTCGGGGCTGATGATGTAACCCAGGAACGATATGCATGTTTGGTGGAACTCACACTTGGAGATTTTTGCATATAGCTGATTCTGGATGAGGCGTTTGAGCACTGCCCTGACGTGCTGAATGTGTTCAGATAGTGAGTTGGAGTAGACCAGGATGTCGTCAATGTATACGATGACCCATTTGTTGAGCATGTCTCGAAATATCTCATTTACAAAAGCCTGGAACACGGAAGGACTGTTTGCTAGGCCGAAGGGCATAACGAGGTATTCATAGTGGCCGTCGATTGTAGAGAACCCGGTTTTCCACTCGTCTCCCTGTCGTATGCGGATGAGGTTATATGCACTACGGAGGTCCAACTTAGTGAAATACTGAGCTGAGCGGAGTTGTTCAAGGGCGGCTGGAACCAATGGCAGGGGGTAGCGGTATTTGACTGTGATCTCATTTAAGCCTCGGTAATCAATGCATGGGCGTAAGCTACCATCCTTCTTTTTTACAAAGAAAAAGCCTGCTGAAGCGGGTGAGGTAGATGGTCGGATAAAGCCCTTTTTGTAGCTCCTCAGAGATGTAATTCTTCATCGCTTCAGTTTCAGGTTGAGAGAGGGGGAAAATGCGACCACGAGGGGGCGTGGTGCCTGGTAACAGTTCGATGGCACAGTCATTTTCACGATGAGGAGGGAGCTTGGTAGCCTTCTGCTTATTAAATGCCTCAGTTAAATCATGATAAGCCTCGGGAATTTGACAAAGTTCAGGGTCTTCGGTGCTGGTAATCGTGTTGATCTGGACTGGGGAAACAGAATGCAGACATTGGGTAAAGCACTGATTGCTCCATTTTGTGATCTCACCAGTTCTCCAGGAAACTTGAGGGTCGTGTAGTTGTAGCCATGGCAACCCGAGAATTACAGAGTGCTTAGGGGAGTCGATGGCAAGAAGGGAAATCTCCTCTTCATGGAGAGAGCCTGTTTGAAGAGAAATTGGTTGAGTCTGGAATTTTATGCGTCCCTCTCCCAATGGGCGCCCGTCTACAGCAGTGATGGCTAAGGAGGAATTACAGGAGGTTAGAGGAATGGAGTGAGTGGTAGCAAACGTGTAGTCGATAAAGTTGCCAGCGGCTTCTGAATCGATCATGGCCATGGTCTCAATCTCATCTCCATTGTTTCTCAGAATGACAGGCAAATTCATAACATTATTAGTGGTCGTGAACATAGTGGTTGCACTCACCGAGAGGGTTTTAGGGAGAGGCTTGTTGGGACATAAAACCTTCGTATGACCTGGAAGTCCGCAATAGATGCATAGGTGATTTCTCCTCCTTTGTTCTCGTTCCTCTGGGTTCAAGCGGGTTCTACCCAATTGCATGGGTTCAGCGGAGGTCTCAGGGAATACAGGACTGGAAGCAATTGAGCACAGTGGGTTGCGAGTGCGGAGGAGAGTGTCTAACCTTATGGAAAGTTCAATCAGTTGATCCAGTGTTTTTCCCTCGTCACGACATGCCATCTCTTTCTGCAATTCTGGTCTCAGAGCCTTTCTGTAGAGCGTAGTAAGTGGATCATCAGCCCAGCCTGTTTGCGCTGCCAGGGTGCGGAACTGCAGTGCGAACTCAGCTGCGGAGCGATCTCCCTGTTGGATACACAATAGCTCCTCGCCAGCGTTACGACCACCCTCCGGATGATCGAACACAGTGCAAAAACGTTTGAGAAAGTCATTAAACGAGGGAAATATCGGGGTACTGTCTGGCCAAACTGCAGTAGCCCAGTCTAGCGCTTTCCTAGTGAGCAGGGAGCACACAAAAGCAATTTTCCCATTTTCGTCCTTAAACAGATGGGGCTGTTGGGCGATAAACAGTTTACATTGCAACAGGAAGCCTTTACATTTTGCTGGGTTACCTGAGAATTTGTCAGGGAATGCCAATCGAGCTCCGGAGGCCATCGGGGGTTGTGTCACAACAAGTGGACTCGGAGAGTAGTTGGCGGTGAGTTGCGCTGTGGGAGCAGCTTGCAGGTTTTGTAGAGATTTCACAAGTTCGTCTGTCAACTGAGTTAAGTGTGTTAGTTGTTGTTGGTGAGTAGACAATACCTGAGCTTGAGCTGTGACTTCGTGAGACAAAACCTGGATGGC